AAAAAAAAAAAAAAACAAACGAATTGCTTGAGTCCACGAGTTTGAGGTTGCTGTGAGCTGTGATGCCATAGCACTCTACTGAGGGCGACATATTGAGACTCTGTCTCAAAAAAAAAAAAAAGGTCATAGGCCAGTTATTCTGTAGAATACCCTCCCGTATTTTTATTTATATCTTAGATACTTAATAAAGAGGGCAGCTATATAGTTTATTGTCTGAAGAGAGGCACCGTTGAAATTGTAAGAAGTTGTTAATTACTCCACAATAACAGGTAAAAACTAGCAGTCTTAGATAAACCATAATATATATGGTCTCCTCACTTTTTTTTTTTTGGAGACAGAATCTTACTCTGTCACCTTGGGTAGAGTACAGTAGCCTTATCATAACTCACTACGACTTTGTATTTCTGGACCCAAGCAATATTCCTTTCTCAGCTTTGAGAGAAGCTGAGACTACAAGTGGACACCTCTATGCCTGGCTAATTTTTTCATTTTTAATAGAGACAGAGTTTTGCTCTTGCTCAGATTGGTCTCAAAATTCCGAGCTCAAGCAATACTCCCTCCTCAACCTCCTAGAGTGCTAGAATTACAGGTGTGAGGGGCTGTGCATAGCTTTATAACTTATTTTTGAAGAAGCTGGATTCATTCCCTGCCATAGAGAATAAATATTAATGAAGTAGTTTATTTTCATGAACTATGTTTAAATACTCTTATGGATAATTAAAAGATGATTGACCCTGCTATGTGAATAGTACTACCAAATGAAAATTATAAATCAGTTATTCTGTTTATAGCTTGCTTAATTGTTAGCATTCCTATATAACAAGTTAATGCATTGAATTGCCTTGATGTGTATTTCTGCAACATTATTTTGAAATATACATAGTAAATTATATTTATTAAATGTTCTGTGGTGCTTTTGTACTCTTAACATTTAGTTATAGTAAATAGACACTTAGCATTGATATAAATAGCACATAGCATTGGTAAGACCAATAACTATGCTTAACTTACTTACCTAGCTCTAAATTGTGTGTGACAGCATCTTCCAGGGACGCTGTCTATGGGCACTCAGAATGGTCCAGCATTTGACATACCATCAGAGGCTTTCCTACAATACAGCCTCTAACAAAATTTGGCTTTTGGGAACCCCTAGTAATAGAATTATTTACCTTTATACCAAGAAAGTTGGGAAAGCACCAAAATCTGTGTGTGATTCATGCCCAGGCAGACTTGAAGGGGACCTGCTATGAGACCTGATGTTCTTATGAGGATGTCTAAGACAGGAAAACATGGCTTGGCACCCATAGCACAGTGGTTACGGCGCCAACCACTACACCAAGGGTGGTGGGTTCGAACCTGGCCTAGGCCAGCTAGACAGCAATGACAGCTGTAACAAAAAATAGCCAGGTGTTGTGGCAGGCACCTGTAGTCCCAGCTACTTGGGAGGCTGAGGCAAGAGAATTGCTTAAGCCCAAGAGTTTGAGGTTGCTGTGAGCTATGATGACACGGCACTCTACTGAGGGTGACATAGTGAGACTCTGTCTCAAAAAAAAATAAAATAAAACAGGAAAACATGTCAGCAGGGCCTATTGTGGTTCTATGTATGCTAAATGCGTTCATGAGAAGATCAAACATACTTTCCTTATTGAGGAGTAGAAAATTGTTGTGAAATGTTGAAGGCACAATTACAGAGTCAAAAAGCTAAATAAGAAAATGAAGCTTTTTTGAGTAATAAAAAAGACTGGTGGCACCTATGGCTCAAGGGCAGGGCACCAGCTCCATATGCCAGAGGTGGTGGGTTCAAGCCCAGCCTTGGTAAAAACTGAGAAAAAAAGAAAAAGAAATAAATACAAGACTTAAAAAATAAATTAATAAAAATGTTCTTTTTATTTCAGTTGGCTTCATAATGATCTAAAAGTGGCCCTTATAGGTAGTCCAGTGGACCTCACTTACACATATGACCACCTGGGAGACTCCCCCCGAATTCTTCAAGACATTGCTTCTGGTAGCCATTCATTTAGCCAGGTACTCTCAAGTCGTATGTGCCTACTTTTTGTTGACCCTTTTTTTTTTCCCTGACTGAAGTGGATGCTTTTGTTAACTTTATAATTGTGATTCTTAAAATCTGTTTTTATATAATGTGATTATTGTTAAGGATGATAGCAATTCAGAATAGAATATGGAAGAAAGTAAAACATTACCCAAAATACTACCACCCCAAAGCAAGTGTTGATCAAACATCATAATCATCTATTTCTGCATAGAGCAAGGCAATATGTATGGACAGGCAAACAAAAATGAGATTGTACTGTGCCTGCTTTTTTTTTAAGTCAGAATGTTACTTTGTCACCCTCGATAGAGTAATAGCTCACAGCAACCTCAGACTCTTGGGCTCAAGTGAGTAATCCCCTTGCTTCAGCCTCCTGAGTAGCTGAGACTATAGGTGCCTGCCACAACACCCGGCTATTTTTAAAGATGGGCTCTTGCTTTGGCTCAGGCTGGTCTCTAACTCATAAGGAAAGAATTATGCTTTCAACTTTAAATCTTTCTGTACTGCAAGAATTATTATTCCTTAAAGTAATTTTACCTGTTGCTTGAGAACTTAAGAGTGTCTGTTTTATTCCAAATGAGACGGTTTGTTGGGATATACAACTTTAGGGTCACATTTCTTTTCCTTTCTGGCATTTTATTTTATTTCATTTTATTTGAGACCAAGTCTCATTCTGTTGCTCAGGCTAGAGTGCCAGGGCATCAATCTAGCTCACAGTGACCTCAAACTCCTGGGTTCAAGCAGTCCTCCTATCTCAGCCTACCAAGTAGCTGGGACTACAGGTGCATGCTTACTACACCTGGCTAATTTTTCTGTTAGTAGAGACAGGGTCTCGCTCTTGCTCAGGCTATTCTTGAACTCTTGAGCTCATTCCTCTTCCCACATCAGCCTTCCAGAGTGTTAGGATTACAGGCATGAGCCACCTCACTCAGCCTCTCTGACCTTTGTATAAACACTGCCTTTTGTTACTGTGAGCCTGAAGTAGCCTTATTTTTCCTCCACCATGTCCTGATTTTTTTTCTTGTTTAGATATTTTATCCTTGAGATTGTATACTTGATTCTTCATCCTAGAAATTCAATAACTTCACCAATGTATGTGTTAATGGTGGTATTTTATAGGACATGATATACTTTCAGTCTGAAGATTCAAGGTACTTTGTTGTGTGTGTGTGCACAGTGGTGGTGGTTATAAATTTGATGTTGGTGTTTAAAAAACTAAGGAGTTATTTCTCACATAACAAGGGATCTGGAGTTGGGCACTTAAGGATGATTCTGTTATTCACAATGTCATCAGAGTTTGTTTTTTTTTTTTTGGAGATAGAGTCTCATTGTCTTGCCCAGGTGTTAGCCTAGCTCACAGCAACCTCAAATTCCTGGGTTCTCCTGATCCCCCTGCTGCAGCTTTCAGAGTAACTGGGACTATAGGTATACACCACAGTGCTAATTTTTTCTATTTTTAGTAGACACAGGGTCTCACTCTTGCTCAGGCTGGTCTCAAACTCCTGAGCTCAAGGGATCTTCTTGTCTTGTGCTGTGATTACAGGCATGAGCCACCACACCTGGCCTTCTTTGAGCTCTTTTTAAGTGAGAGGTATTGTGTTGCTTTTCTTTTTCTTTTTCTTTTTTTTTTTTTTAGACAAGAATCTCAAGCTATCCCCCTGGGTAGAGTAC